TGTCCGTCCGTATGTATGGAAGTATCTCGTATAACTCAAAAACGAGTAGCCTCGGAGCGTTAAAATTTTGTATATAGGACTGCTATAACATGTAGTAATGCACATCTCTTTTTGGTTGCGATCGGCCATACTCGTGCGCTGTTTTTTTTTTTTTTTTTTTTTCCCTTATATGTTGGTAAATTGGACATTTTTTGCTTTAAAAATAAAGCTTCGTGCTATGTTGTTCGTATCTTCCAGTTAAGATTTTTTATGCCTTTAGTTAATCTGCATGCAATAGGTGTAGAATAATCAACAAAGTGCGGCTAAGCCTAATTTTTTACTATAGCAGCCATATTTGTTTACATTTGAAACTTAGGAGAATAATGAATTAAGTCAGTTTCTGCACATTCAGCGTCTTTTTGCAGAGTGGGACCAACAGCAAACTTTCAGTTTTGTGCATCGAAAAATATGCCTTTTTGCCCGCTGGCCGATTGCTTGCTTTTGCGTAGAAATTAATGTTTCTAATTTTAATCGTAACAATTGCCTTTTTAATTGCTTCAACTGTGTTTGGTGTTTTATATTTTTCTATATTTTTAAATTTTTAATGAAGATATTTTGAGATTTTATGTGTTTTTGCCTTTCCACGAAATGAGAACTGAATTAATTGAATGAGAAATATATCTAATGAAATTCGAAGAAATAAATTTAAATGGAATGAGCAAAATATGCGTATAATTTAATATTCTCTACAAGGAAGTCATGTGGCGTGTACATCAGATTTTTTTAAAAGAAGCATGCAAAGTAGTAGTTATAGAAACAAGATGTTCATAGACAGGAGGCGATTTTCTACTCATAATGAGTTACTTCATTTTCACAATCTTAAGATCTGACGTCACTAATTCAATTGTATGTTTTTTAATTTTATATATTTTGATATCTTCAGCATTTTCAATGCTTTATAATTTCTTTACGTTGTTCAATATTTTTAAATTAAACATTTTATTTTACATTTATGTGGTAATACCTTCTTGAAAAAGATATCTAAACTACTTGAAAGGACAGCACGTTTAATTATATTTAAAGTATTTACATTTTTAACAAATAAGTTTGTTGTAAATTGAATTAACTTCTTCAAGACATTTTTATTTACGTCTTAATCGTCGTCGTTCTTTTACTGCATCTTGAGTCCAACTCATCTAATTGCCAACTGACAAAACGAAAAATAAAACATTAAAAGAATTATACGATGAACAATCTGTACGCCATCTGGTATTCAACATTGGCAGTACATTTATAACTACTTTTAATCGTGTGCTATTGATTTAATAGTCCTTACTTAGTTTGTATTTTATTGTTCTATTTTAATTTACTTACTACACAGTTTTAATTTGTATAAGTTCACATAACCTTACCATCGATAGTTTTAATAATTCTTAATTTAATTTCGATAGATCTCAATTTAATCGATAGTTCTTAATTTAATTTTAATCGGCATTCTAATTTTTTGACATTTTGAATTTTTGTAATTTCGTCATATTCGAATATTTCCTTACAATTTTAAAATTACGTCTTGTATTTTCTGTGCGTAACTGATCATCTACATGATTTTATTTGAATTAATTTTATGTTTCAGGCCTTTTCCCCCAATATTAATATTACAGAATAATATAATTTATATTTAAATACAGATATTTTTCTCAGACATTTAAAAAATTTTAACTGTTTTCTAATATCATGTTTAGTTTTGAATCCAAGCTAAATTCGTTTAAACGAATTCGCAACTTTCGGTACTAGTTTTAGGACCCCGTTCACTGTTTCATCCAATCAAACTTTTTGAGGAAAACTAGCATTTGCTTATGCTACATATATGATGAAATCCATAAAAATTAACATTTCACACTCAGCGTCTTTCTACTGAAACTGTTTAGTATACTGTTAAGTTTGCAAATATATCAAAGAAAATTTTTTATTGTCGCAACTGTCGATCTATCGAATTTCGTTAGTTAGTTATTTAGATTTATAATAGATGGCGCCACCTCCTTTTGAAATAACTATTTTGTTTGTAAAAGCAGGGCCAACTTATACTAGAGGTGCTCGTACCTTGAGGTTCCACTGTACCGTATTTTGATGTTTGTATGAAATGTGAAAGAAAAGCTATGAAATAAAAGCAACACAGCTCAAAAACAAAATAACATTTTAATACAACATATTAGTAAAAATACAAAGCCCCTCATTTGTACTGCAGAGTAAATGTGGCGAAAAGAGGCAATATTGATGGTAGACATGTAAGAGGTACATTATTATTGTAAGTATGGAAATGCTTGAAGGACAAATTTTCTAGCGTTACAGTTCAGTTGTGTATCAATAGTCCAGCTATTGATAATCTTAGAAGTTTACATCGGTGGTTTTCTAAAAACATAAGAATTTTCATCACTTAAAATTCTTATACAAAGAGCTATGCTTCGTGAAATGGTCTAATTTCAAATTTCATTCGAAAGTAGGACTCAGCTCATAAAAAACGCTAATGAATTGTTAGCGTAGATTAAATTTCATTAGCTTGTAGATTAAATTTCAAATTAAATTGTCTTGTAGATTAAATTTAGAATCCTTGCAGATTAAATTACACTTTTTACTCGTTCCAGACAAGCATCGATTAATTTTTTTTTTTTTTTTTTTTTTTTAGCCCAAAAGGGCTATTAGCCTCAGAACGGAATTTTGCGTTGTTTCACTTTCTGCGTTGATTCACTTTACAAACTGTTGCCACCAAATATTATCCCCATGTATTATATTTAGAGAAACTAAATAATGAAGAATTCGCATGAATGCATTTCTCGCATTGTGAAAAAACAACGGTATAGTTCGACCGCCTCATCCGTAACCATGAGCGCAAACACGCATGCGCCATTCGGACCGAATTATTCTCAAAATAGGGTGGAAGAATGGGGACTTTCTTTCCCTCCAGTATAGCTCTCTCCGGAGAAGAGAAGACGTCTTCACGTCGCAGCAAGTAATAACGCCCTTTTGGACGAGTCTATGTGTTTTGGCAGAATGCCAACCAGGGTTGCGCTTGAGACGGTCGAACTACACCTACAGCCATCCAATTTTGAGTAACGAAGTCCTCCAACCGAGCATGGGCACTTGGAAGCCCGAATTTTGAATTCCGAATCTGTTTTATTATCTGTTTCAAATTTTGTAAAATTTTGACTTGATTTTTTGATTAACAAAATCAACGATTTCAAAGCGTGCAACGGCAAAAGTATACGGGGGAAAAAAATTATTTCCATTGAGCAAAACTGTGTATCGAAAATTCTAAAGATGTGCCCTTTTCTGTTTTTAAATATTTTGTGTTATTGCAGTTGAATTCAACTTTATGTGGTTTAAGTGCAAAGAACATGATACTTAATAAATAAAGGTGACACACGAAACATTTAAAAAACGCCCTTCTGGCCGTAATATAATGGATGTGACTTTTTTATCATGCAATGGCACATGAACTTTAACTGTTCAATAAAAGAAAATAAGCAAATGAACTTATGGCATCAGTAAGCGCTAACAGTATTTGTATAAAACTGATTAACGAGGCTACTGGTAGTTCAGCCGCAAATAGTTATATGTTAATATGCCGCAAATAGTTAATACGAGTATGATTTTGATCCATCTTATGCACTATCTATCTTTACAAAGAAGAATGTCTGTTTGTGTGTTTGTTCGCGATTAACTCAGTCATTACTACAGCTATTGTCAACAAACTTTCTACAATTCTTTTTTGGGTCCTGGGAAAGGTCAATGTCCACTCCCCCCCTCCCAAAAGCTAAAATCAGAGATATTAATTAAAAACTCTGAAAACGCTAATTTTCGTCCTCATTTTTACGAGTGGCAACAGTTTCGCACGCTAGAGATAAAAATGAGCTTTATTTCGATAAGTGTTGCCACTGCTCACTTTCAAATCGTAGAGATTGTTAATCAAAAATTTCGAAGTTTTACAATTAAATAAAAATAGCATTGTCAAACATTAGTTACATTATTCCCAATTCCAAAAATTCGTCGGAAGCCATTTCGTCTGTTCCCATCTTCGTACGAGTTTAATCAGCCGAGATATTAATTAAAAACTCTGAAAACACTCATTTTCGCACTCATTTTTCCGAGTGGCAACAGTCTTGCGCGTTGGAGATAAAAATGCTTTTGTTTCGAAAAGTGCTGCTACTACTCGCTTTCACATCGTAAAGTTTGTTAATCAAAAATTTGTAAGTTTTACAAAATCTATGTATATAAAGAAGAAAGTGTGTTGTTTGTTCGCGTTATTAATTTATGATTAATTATGATCAATGTTTGGCCACATTTAAGGGGACTCATACACCTTAAACCCTTCGAATTATGTGACTGTTGCAAGAATTGAGATATTTTATTTATTTTAAAAGTAATTACTTCCAACCTTTTACAGCTGACTACATAATATAGCTGCTTTGGAAACTAGTAACCAGAAAGTTTGTGTTGCCACAAATATTTTTGTAATTTAATCCGCTTTGTAACAAAATTTTTCGTCATGTTTCCACCTTGCGCGCATGATATTTTAAAAATGGCTAATGGTACATACTTAAAATTTAATGGAATACTTTATATGGGCACTATTTTCCAACTGAACCAAAAATCTGATGAATATTTTAATACTGAAAAATTTTTATGGACGAAAACATTACAAATTTTTTTAATAAAATACATTTTATAAACTCAACTCCAAATAAAATAAAAATTTGACAAGAAATTCTCAGTTTTTTTTGGTTTACAGTAGTTTCCAAATATTATAAAAGCCTTACATAAACTATGGAATTAAATAATGCAACAGATAATTTTAAACTGTGCGCGCAAGGTGCAAACATGACGAAAATTTTTGTCACAAAGCGGATTAAATTATAAAAATATTTGTGGCAACACAAACTTTCTGATTACGATTTCAGAAAGCAGCTATATTATGTAGTCAGCCATAAAAAGTTGGAGGTAATTGCTTTTAAAATAAATAAGTTATCCCAATTCTTGCAACAGTCACTTATTCGAAGATTATAAAGGGTTTAAGGTGTATGAGATCCCTTAACCGACTAAAATTGAATATTGGTGAAATATTTGATGGAACTTTCGCTTTTATGACCATTTGATTAGAAAGACGGAAATCATTAAGAACTGCTTGCCATTGTTGCTGATATGATGAGAGAGAATTAGTTTATTTTTCTATCGAAATTTTTTATGTGGATTCCATATCGCATCTGAAAATATATGACTACGACTTTTGCATCATTATCAGAGAAGGATTACAGCGTTATCGTTCTCTCTGTTATTAGATGCATTACTTTCAGTCTAACTTAACTGGCATCGGGTACTTCCGCTAGTACTAAGATATAATCATTGTGAAATTCAGTCACAAAGCCTGTCAGTGGACCAGCCACGAAAAATGAAGATATGCCGGCTTTGATGTTTTTTATTCACTGGTACAACTAGCGCAACGAGATGTGGTAATTATTTCAAGAAGTAAAGTAAACAGTCATCTGTTGGACAACCTTTTATCACTCTTATTCAGGATCGTTTGAAAACTGAAGTTTCTCAGCATGCTATAATCGCTGGATTCCGGCACGAAATCTGGCTGGATGAAACATGTGTCACTAATACCTGTTGGTTGGCAGGCCTTCAGCAAGCCATCGAAGTCAAACTTGTAGGTATAGCGTTTTCCGTTCACTTTGCTCATGATCCCTTTGTCGTAGTAATACCTCAAAGCTCGACTTAGCTTATCATAATTCATGTTAGGTTTCGACTTTCGGTCTCCCCATTTTCTCGCAACCTCTTCTGGATTTAGCAACCGGAATTCACCCTCTTCGCCTTCCCATGCGATATGAGAACTGTTTTCTGGTTCAGAGAGCAGTTCGAGTAAAAACTGCCACAATTGAATTTGTCCGCCACCTAGAAGAAATTAAAATAAATAAATAAATAAAAACAAATGCTGAAATAAAATAAAATACGTAGAATGAAAGCATATTGCTATATAAAACGATAAATTTTTACTCTGCAAAGTAAAAAATAACAAGGGAAAAATTTGGTTAATCTTTGGATTATGGTAACTTGGCGATTTTTTGGCGACCAACCCTGCTACAGCAACCTGCTAGTTTTGTTTTGGACGCCATTTTGTTTTCACGAAGTAAAGGCATTTTTTTTTTTTTTTTTTTTACTCAACATTTTTTTCCAACAATCTGCTAGCCGAATTACGCTTATGCTAGAACTTTTATGGAACAAAAGTGCTTAATCATGACGAAGATTAGGTGCGAACTTGGGAGAAAGTGCAGAATTGCCCACTGCTTGCCGCGTTTTTAAGAATTGCACATACATGGTATCATCATGTACACGTCGACCTATTTTCACTTAAAAAAAACATCCCAGAATTGCACAAAAATGGCATTGCGCACACTCTTGAATTTATCCATGTACACTACTAAAGTACTAGCTAGTAACCTTTATAGCCTTACCAAACTGTCGCCAAACTACCTGTTACCATATTCCAAAGATTAGCCGAATTTTTTTCCCCCACTGTATCCGAAAATATCCATACATGCGTACAACAATGGACTCATGTATAGAAGAAGTAACAGCTAAACACAACTTGTACGAGAAATTATTATAAGAAGTAACAATTTGGTGGGTGTTTTTAATTTAGAGAAGTTTTAAAATTAAAATTTGCTTTTCTTAAAAAATTCAGGTCTAAAAATAATTTAAGGAGACTAAGAGATGAAAGATCGAGAAAAATGAAAGAAAAACATTGAAAGAAAGAGTTAAAAAATTTAGCTAGTTTGTTATCTTATAAGTGGATTAAGAGCACATGAAAATCTAGAAATTTTCTTTCTCATATGCGCACTTAGAAAATGATATGCATAGTCTAGGCAAACTAGATACATCTACTTTCTAACTTCCTCTCCCCCAAAACACACACACAACAAAAACAACAACAACGAAAAAAAAAAAAAAAAAGAAAAAAAAAACCCACCCTTGCGAATTAAAATACTACTGCATACTGCAAAAATACTCATAAATATTTTTATTAGTTCATTATTATAATAATTAAATGCACTGTATTGGCTATATACGTTTTTGGCTAATCTTTGGTTGGTGTTGGTGTATTTAATTATGGCAAAGCACATTAGGGCTATCTGCCTAAGGGGGAGGGATGCCTTCGTGGAGGACTTTCTAAGGGAAACTGGCTCGTATACACGTTACACATGGGGAAAACCACGAAAACACCCATGCAGCCAGCCCGTTCGCGGGATTCGAACCTCGGCCCGAACTACCAGTGTTCAGCGACTTTACCGCTCGGCCGCTGGTGGGTCCAATAATCTTTGGAATATGGTAAATAGTTTGGCGACATTTTGGTAAGGCGATAAAGGTTACTAGCTAGGACTTTAGCAATAATCTGAGAAGTACACAGTTCGAATCACAGATTATTTTGTCTCAGAGAAATGAGAAATCATGAGACATGTAATGTGACATTTTCCGAAAAATTCCAATCGGGATTTTAGCTAATAAGCACTTGGAAACAATTTCGCTGCTAAAGTTCAGAATCGCCCATTTATTTGTTTGGCGCTTTTTACAAGAGTAAGAAGAATTGGATTTTAGTCAATTTTCTTTGACTTTTTAAGTGAAAATAGGTCGATGTGTACATGGATAAAGTAGTGTGCGCAATGCCATTTTTGTGCAATTCTGGGATGTGTTTTTAAGCGAAAATAGGTCGACGTGTACATGGATACCGTGTATATGCATTCTTAAAAAACGCGGCAAACAGTGGGCGATTCTACACTTTCTCCCGATTTCGCACCTAATCTTCGTCATGATTAAGCACTTTTGTTCCATAAAAGTTCTAGCATAAGCATAATTCGGCTAGCAGATTGTTGAAAAAAATGTTGAGGGAAAAAAAAAAAAAAAAAAAAAAAAAAAAAAAACTAGCAGGTTGCTGCAACAGGGTTGGTCGCCAAAGTTTCGCCAAAAAATCATAAAAGTTACCATAATCCGAAGATTCACCAAGTTTTTAAAACATAAAATGAAGATTTCAATGAATAAGAAGTGTATCTATGGCTTTCAGATCGCTCAGTTTATTTATCAACAACAGATTTATTAAATATGGAAGATGAATTAAAAACATAATGTTTCACGAGTTTCAGGATTCTGATGACAAGTGACTATGTGGAAAGTGGCATAAAAAGCAGATTTAAAATCTTGCGTTTCTTTCAGTGGCAACACTTGTTCAGGCTAATGGACGATCTACGGATGTTAGCGTAATGCAGACGAACATAACAAATGAAGAATCTTTCCATAATTAGAAAAATCTTAAATCTTAGAAGAATCTTTCCATATAAGGACATTTAGACGTTTTCTAACCTCAAAGACTGATTTTCAAGCAGGAAGCTGTAATGAATAATAGTCAATAAACTAGTAACTACAAATGCACAAAAATAAATATAAAACTATTATTTACCTAAACTAAAAATGATAGTTTCTGTAAAGACCACTGGCATTGCTAATGAATTTTAGGTTATATTGAAAATTGTTACCGATATTGTATTCTATTTACTTATCAATGCAAAATTAAATTAGGATAATTGAAAATTGATATGAAATAAGCATTTGCTAAAAAAGTTCTAAGACTTATACTTTACTTTTTTGGAACCAAAACATGTGAAAAATCAGCAACGCCCTCGCCGGAAATCGAACCACGGACCTCTGGAATACGCGCCCAGCGTGCAGACCACTACACTACGAAGGCATGCTAAGAAGGTGGGATAAATATCTTATACGCTCCCCCTTTTAAAGGATGACTGGGAATTTTAGGAAACTCAGTCGCTAAATCCTGGGTGTGGAGAATCATCATCCACCACCCTTTTAGTTCGGGCGCCACTGTAGAGACATCAAGTTATTTCGAAACATGAGATAAGGAAAATGAGCAATGCTTTAGCCGGGAATCGAACCACGGACCTCTGGAATACGTCCCCACTGTGCTGATCACTACACTACAGAGGCATGCTAGGAAGGCGGGAGAAATACCTTATAGACTTAAGATAACTTAAGATTTAAAAAAAACTTATGCGTACACCACATGACTTCCTTGTATTGGAATATTAAATTGGAATATTAAATTGTACGCATTTTTTCTTGCATTTCATTTAAACTTATTGGATTGAATTAAATCTACTTCGCCGGCAGCGCATAAACCACAATAGAATAAATGCATTCTTTAAAATTCACTCTAGTATTTGTTTACCATAGCGACACTCTGGCGCTAGATTCACTTAACAGTATTAATAATTATATAACAGTTAACTTATATAATAATTATATAACGGAGACTAAGTTAACTGTTATATAATCCAATAATTATACAAAAGTTAATGTATATATTTCGTTCATATTATAACTGATAATGCACAAAATTTATATCATCTAAAGAATTGAATTATCTAATCGTTGCCACATGTTCTATTCAAATACTATAACAAAGCTAGAACTGTGTATAAAAGAAATTAAGCAAAACAAAAAAGAAACAGTTTTTCACAGACGATTGAATATTTCTCATTGAATTAATTCAGTTCTCACTTCGCGAGAAGGCAAAAATACATAAAAACTCAAAATATCTATATTAAAAATTACGAAGTAAATCTCAAACACTTATTTCCTCAAAAAAATTCCAGAAAGAATTAAGCATGATTTAATTGGCAATAATAAATGAATGCGTTATCTTTGTTGTTGGGAAGCTAAGTTTATCTAGATTGGCAACAAATCCACTAGACTCCTGTTTCAAATGTAAACATCAATGGCAGCCATTAAAAACAGGCTTAGCGGCAATAAAACAACTTTAAAATTGCTGATAATTCTATAAATATTGCACACAGATTTACTAAAGGCATAAAATCCTTAACCGGAAGATAAAAACAACATAATTCAATCATTTTTAAAGCAAAAAATGTACAATTTACGAACATATAAGAGTCAAGAAACTGAGATCACTGAGCCGGGTAACAGAGTGGATATATATATAAAATATTTATATACGTTTGGTGCGGGCCGATTGCAACCAAAATACGAGGTGCACATCTACATGTTATAGCAGTCCTATATACAAAATTTCAACGTTCTGAGGCTACTCGTTTTTGAGTTATGTGAGATACGTACGTACGCACGTACGTACGTACATACGTTCGTACAGACGCCACGAAAAATTCTCTTCAGAATTAATTTTAAAGCAGTTTTATAATTTTTTTGAAGGAAAAGAGTCTGTTATTCTGTCCTTACGTACAGATATGACGCAAAAACATCGTTAAATTGCATTCGATAGCGGTCAAAATGGATATTTTCGTTGAAATATGCTGCCTGAAACTTTTCGCGATTACAATACTTCCTTTTTACTTCGTATAAGGAATTAAAAAAAAAAGAGCGTGAGTTATGATTCTCAAGAAAATAGCAGTTCTCAAACTATTACTTACTCTTAAATTATAAGAAGGAGTTCTTATTAGATGATTAATAGTAAACGTTAATAGTATTCGAACTTACTGTTAGAAGTAGAGGCACTCTGACTTTCTTTCATAAAGTATTTACCAAATACTTCTCTAATCGAATCTAGAAGAAAAATAAGGGATATAAATTGTACATGAAAGAATTAATTTGTCAATAACGGAGGCAGAGATTAGAATTAATCTCACACATCACGGTACAGTTACATTAAAAAAATCTTAATTGTACATGAAAGAATCATAAATTGTACATGAAAGAATTAATTTGTCAATAACGGAGGCAGAGATTAGAATTAATCTCACACATCACGGTACAGTTACATTAAAAAAATCTTAATTGTACATGAAAGAATCATAAATTGTACATGAAAGAATTAATTTGTCAATAACGGAGGCAGAGATTAGAATTAATCTCACACATCACGGTACAGTTACATTAAAAAATCTTTAAAAAAATTTCCTAATTATTATTATTGCACGAGACGTATTAGTTTGCTTATAACAAGAAGCTAGATTTAAACAGTTTCGCTGTGCAACGTACATTCATACTATTTAAGTAAATTTCAATTATTTTCGAATTATTGTTAGACTAATAAAGGATATAGAGTAAGGCAAATATAGATACATTACACTTGACACACACACACATATATATATATACCGGGTGGCCATAATTAAACTGACAGTGCTCACAGTGTTCTGTAGCGCGATCTATTTGCAAGAATGACGCCACATTTTGTAGGAAGATTAAACAAGACGGGGGACGAAGGATTCCGCAAAAAAAAAAAATTAGTTCCAAAAGTCACCGCTAGGGGAATATTTGGCGCTGTGTAATAGAAAATAGAGTGTTAACAAATGCAAATTAATACGGAATAAAATTACCTTTTTATTATGGATATGCCTTATGGAATATGGATATGCCTTACAGTACGGTATGGAAAATCTTACGAAAGATTATCAACTTCTATCCGTACAAGATCAGCCGTGTACAGGAGTTACTGTACCCCGACCATGATAAGCGATTGACTTTTGCTCTCACCTTTCTTGCCAGAATGGAGGTGGATGATGCTTGGCCGTGGAAAATCTTATGGGAGACGAGGCCTACTTTTACCTGAATGGAACTGTGAATACCCAGAACTGCTGAATTTGGGATGACAAACCACCACATGCAGTCACAGCAATTCCCTTACATTCACCAAAGGTAACTGTTTGGTGTGGGTTCACAGCGGAATTTATCGTAGGTCCATTCTTCTATGACTACATTACCCCGACAGGACCGGAAACCTGTTCTGTTACCGGAGAGAAATATCGCCACATGTTGAACAGCTTTGTCATTCCGGCACTTCAGCAAAAAGAATGCCTGGGGGAAATCATTTTCATGCAAGATGGAGACCCGATACACGTTGTTGTATGGGTGCAACAGATGCTACAACAGAAATTCACAACAGAAAGAGTCATTAGCCGCTACTTTCCAACTGCATGGCCACCTCGATCACCTGATCTTACCCCATGCGACTTCTGGCTATGGGGTTACCTTAAGTCCAAGGTCTATCAAGGAGTGGTCCAGGACCTGGCTACGTTGAAGGATAACATATCACGGACTGTACGGGAGATTCCTGCAGACATGTTACTTTCTGCTGTTGTGCATACTGTGCACAGAATGCAATATGTGGTCCACAACAACGGCAGCCACATTGAACCTCATTTGAATGCAAAATAAAAGGTAATTTCCGTATTGATTTGCATTTGTTAACACTCTATTTTCTATTACACAGCGCCAAATATTCCCCTAGCGGTGACTTTTGGAACTAATTTTTTTTTTTTCGCGGAATCCTTCGTCCCCCGTCTTGTTTAATCTTCCTACAAAATGTGGCGTCATTCTCGCAAATAGATCGCGCTACAGAACACTGTGAGCACTGTCATTTAATTATCCCCCCATATTTATAGCAGTTTTCAGAATAATTGTTGAATCATAATGTAGTCGTGCTAATTAACCCGAAATTAAATCAGAATCATTTTATTATCAGGATAGCATTCAAATCAATTCGGGTAATAAAAAATCACTAATAACTTTTTGTATGAAGTTTACTGCATCCTGACATTTAAGAAAAAAGCCCCGATATTTCCTTTTGCGAGTCTTTTTTATAGCCTCTGGAAAGGCGGAGCTCCTGAAATGACGTCAGCCTCGTCAGCCAATCCAGTTCGCTTGAAATATTTCCAGAACATTCTAAAACTGTACGTGTAGAAAAGGCGGGAAAAACAACTTGACTACGGGGCTGTGGATTTAATTCCACGTACTTTCAAATAAGAGAACGTCGCCATTAAAAAATGAAAAGAACATACAGTTAGAATTTTAACGTGTATTCTTGACTATGGAATTTTATTATTACAAATATTCCCCCATCTGAAAAGGCTTGAAGCCGGGAGCCTCGACCACAAGACATTCCAGACAGAAAAAATATTTTAAATAATTGTTTAATTTGTTTGAAGAACTCGCATCCAGAATTCGAGTTACAATAATAAAAAACACAACATAAATGATTGACATTCTTCACTTCTCAGCAGACGATATCCAAATCATGCGGTTCTAACTATGAGACGCGCTCAAAATTCGAAGACATATATATATATATATATTTATACTATATGTATATATAATACTATATATGCTCTCTCTCCCTCTCTCTATATATATCAAAGATTGAAGTAAATTTATTAATTAATCGTAACAAATTGCCTAATACTTGCGCAAAAGCTGCAAAGTAATAAAATTAAAATTTATTTACCAGTGGATTATTGAGTATATTATCTCTTTTGAGAAAGGTATTAGAATTTTAGTTGAATAAAGTTGAATAAGCATTTAAAACTGAATCTTGAATTTTTTTTTTCGAATGAAACATCAAATATGAATTACGAAAAAATTAAAAATGGAAACTTTTAAAAAATGTAAAAGTAATCAACAGAAAATAATATACTCAACAATAATGATAATAATAAAAACTGAAATATTTCAGATGTTAAAATACGTCCAAAGGGGCGTTTTTTTAACAATTTGTGTGTTACTTTTATTTATTAAATATCATGTTCTTCGCACTTAAGCCATAAAATTCAGTTCAAGAGCAATATCTCAAAATAATTTTAAAATGAGCATATCTTTAGAATTTCCGATACACAGTCCGCGCGATGGAGATAAGAATGTTTTTTTCCCGTACAGTGTTTCCATCGTTCGCTTTGAAATCGTTGAGTTTGTTAATCAGAAGTTCGTTGAAGTGTTGCAAAATCTGAAATCGATAATAAAACAAATTTCAAATTCAAATTAGAGCCCATATTCTATGGAAGATTACGTTAGTCAAATTTTGATGGTTCTAGGTAACGTTGTTTTATCACAGTGCGAGAAATATACATACATTTTGAAGATTCTTTATCGTTTAATTTCTTTAAATATAATGTAAGGCGATAATATTTGGTGGCAAAAATTTGAAAAGTGAAACAACGCTTATCCTGAATTGACGCAAAGTGCCAAAACGAAATTACTAGTCCATCTGGGCAAATTGCTCCTTTGGACTAAAAACTGTTGCCAGATTCCAAACATTAAGTTACACTCAGTAACACGAAGGTAAAAAAAAATAAAATAGTTTATCTCCTTGTGGAAGAAAATGCTTTAACGATATCACGTGACTTATATAAACATTCATGAAACAAAAGTATGAAATGTAATGAAAAACAGTTAAAAAAACACAACAAAATATTTCCAGCATTTCACAAATATTACACACAAAATTTATTTGTGTGTAATATTATTTTGAAATCCTGTATTATATTTTTGAGATTTTGTTTCGTAGAAAGCATATAAAAGTAAGATATGGATAGAAATTTTCAAGCAGATATCTTAATTATTATTTCCTTAATCATTACTAAATTTACCGAGCTAAGTGCAAATTATATATTTTTAGGATTTAAACATTAAATATATTTTTATCATATTATACAATTATAATAACAATCGTAATCATTAACATTATTATAGAATTTGTCATGTTTGTTTACAAATGACGTAACAGCCGCAGACGGACGGAGAAAATAAAAAGGAGTTGTGCTTTTCCGGAATGGCAACATGAAAAATGATATTCTAAAAATATTTGCGTAAAAGTTATTGAATATTTTATGATGGAGTAGCTAATATTTTTGTTCTTTTTAAAGTTTAAATAAAATTGTTGATCTTGTCATAAACAATTTAAAAAAAATTCGTTCGTATTCATTTCAAGAACCGCTATTAACTGAAATTTAATAAACTGTGGAATGAAACTGTATATCAGCATCGAATGTGGAATGGAGTAAGAGTACAATGGATTTCGGTAGACGAAAAGCAAATAACATCCCAATAAAAAGAAAGGCACAACGACAGTTTGGCAGATCAGCCCTTTAGAAGGTAGGTGAATATTTCCCTTATTCTATTAATGAAATAAATTTTGGTACTATTCGGTTTTGAGGGCCGTAAAAAATCGCTAAATTATTGTTGATGCCAGTGCTGCCAAAAATAATTGCGGCAACCCTAACGCAAGAAAGGAAGTATGGTAGCAAATAACTATCTAAGATTTGATGTTTTAATTTAGATGAAAAGTTAATTTCGTATAATACATTTTTATTATTATAATTTATATAAAAAAAGGCTAAACATGACTGAATGGAAGCATTAGAGTAAATAACTATTTCATATCATTTTTATAATTTATATAAAAATTGATAAACATAACTGAATGGATGCCTGCATCGGTATTTCGCTACCGAGTTATCACTAAAGCATAATTTCATCTCGTTGGTGTGTGTGGTGTATTTAATTATGGCAAAGCACACTAGGGCTATCTGCCTAAGGGGAGGGATGCCTTTCGTGGAGGACTTTCTAAGGGAAACTGGCTCGTATACACGTTACACATGGGGAAAACCACGAAAACGCCCATGCAGCCAGCCCGTTCGCGGGATTCGTACCTCGGACCGAACTACCAGTGTTCAGCGACTTTACCGCTCGGTCGCTTCTCGTTGGTAACATAATTTTCTATAATGAATGATGCCTTTTCTTTGAAAAAATTCTCAGTAAAGTGCAGAATCGCCCACTTATTTGTTTGCCGCTTTTTACAAGGGTAAAAACAAGTGGATTTTTGTCAATTTTCTTTTACTTTTTAAGTGAAAAATAGGTCGATGTGTACATAGATAAAGTCAAGGGTGTGCGTAGTACCATTTTTGTGCAATTCTGGAAATTAAGTGAAAATAGGTCGATGTGTACATGGATACCGAGTACGTGCAATTCTTGAAACCGCGTTAAGCAATGGGCGATTCTGCACTTTACCCAAAATTCTATTGCAGACTTTTCGTCATGGGCAATTCCTAAATTATTAAATCCAAAGGATATGAAAAAAGGATTTAAAATCAAAAAAGGGTTTAAAAATTAAACTAGTATTTCAGTGGCCTCTTAAGAAATATAGAATTATATAAACTTACGCAATCTGAAATCAGCGCGTACGCTAGATTTGGCGCGCTGTTAAATGGGCGCGTTTGCTAGATTTGGCGCTTTTGCGGATACATTTTCTCTGCAATTTTTTTACGGTCCTCAAAACAGAATAGTACCTAAATGGTAAACAAAAAATAATTGATAAAATTTAACAGATCTATTTGACTTACCTTTGTATATGATCTTTGGGTGCTACTTTGGTAGACGGTTGCACGGATTTTGGCGATTTTTTGGCGATTTTTTTTGGCGAGCGATACGACTTATTGTAAACTCATTGCTAGACAAGTTGTTTATGGTAACCGATACTTTGTTGCCATTTTATTTAAAAAATAATGCGTTTTATTATTCATAAATTCTGTGTTTTAAATATTATTTATGACTTCAAAATAATAAAAATGAATTTAATTTTGCATTTTTATTTGAAATAAAAATTTTAGTGTTTATGATATTATGGAATTTTATGTTGTGAATGATGTAATGAATGACGTCACAAAATATTTTAAAAGTAATTGGTTTTAATATCTATAAATTTAATCTAATGTTTTAAACATTATTTATGGCTGTTAAATATTAAAATACAATTTAATTTTGCATTTTTTTAAAATATGGTTTTATTATGAATGATTATTTAAATAATTTTAATTCTATGCGTGATGTAATCAGCTCCCTGATTGGTTACTGAATATTTGTGCATTACCGCGCCATTTTAAAATTTTATTATTCATGTCTTCGAATTCCTCCCATTTCAAAGCGAATGGATGTGTCCGTTTCGAATATGAATGTTGTTACTGGTAATTACCAAGAATTATTGGTATCAGAATAAAAAAATTGCCGTTTGAGACCTTATTTTGGCCAACCTTACTTTCCTAATCAAAGATTTATTTATAAATTGTTAATAGCGTCAGAGGAAATTTATTTTAAATTTTTGGAGAAAACCTGACTAATTGCTTCTTCAATGAAGTGTGAGAGATGTGGATCTCACAGATGAAGATCATTAGCGGACCGGTTATTTTGTGGTACTTATTAATATACGACAGGTTAAAAAATGTAAGTACATAATTTTCTTTTACTTCATAATTGTATACTTCAATTTTTATTAAAAAATTAATACAATGATTTCAAAAATTCCTGAGATATTTATTGCCGCATATGTTTTAATGTTAAATAATTAAATCCTATAAAACTTATTTTAAAGTATTTAAGTAATATTTTAATTCTTTTAAACGTTGGTATGATGTTTTTAATTCGATATTCAATTTAAGTAATATTTTAATCCAATTAAATGCTGCGCAGTGTTTTTATAGCGGTGTTTTTATTCTATTATATAAAAGTAACAATTTAACCTTACTTTAGCATTTTATAGTCTTGGTAAATGTATTTATTTACATTTGCCAGCGATCTTAAAAAACAACGTTTTCAACAAAAATTAATCCATTATTTTTAACGATATTTATTTTTGGTATTTTTCCGTTTTGCCGGCGCAAGCGATAAAGTAGCCAATAATGGTACAACCGATGCCAAACGGAATATTCTCGCTGGTAACCTTTTACGCTTCATTTTCAAAACAAGTCGCAGCTTTTTCTTATCAGATTGATTGTTTTTTTCAATACTGGCATATAATTGCATAGAATTTTCATCAGATAGTTCAGCTTTATGTCTAAGGCCATTTTCCGTAATTAAGTCAATTAGAATGCAATCACAGTGCTTACCTGAAGCCGAATATATAGAAAAGGTAAAGTCAAGGGTTAAATTCATCAGTTCTAATGAGAATGGCATTAGCGAAGTAAAGCACTACAGTTTTACATAACTTCTGAGGAAGCTATTCGTACGAATTGAAATAATTCTTGCATTATAAACTTGTATTCAAATTAAGATTTAACTTGAAATTAATGTAAGTAATTAATTACTGAGAGCATTAGAATTTTTGTAGAGTAGTTTACGTGAGATGAGATCGCTTGGGGTCACGTGATACGTGAACCGGCGAATCAGGATGGTGAACCATGAAAGCATAGTAAATTCTTGAATTAATGTCTTTTTACAAATTTATTGTCTTTATTTATTGGTTTTTTTTTTTTATAAAATTTTAAAGCGATATTAAAATGTTTATGCCTTCAAAATAAAAGAATTCTTAAACTAACATTTTTTAAATATTTTTTATGTGTATACTGTATGTTGTCGCCAATAAAGTCTGCTTGCGAGATTTGCGCCGGCGAAAAGGAAAAGTACCTTATTTTTTTTTTAAGTTTCGAATACTTTACTATATGCGTAAAATACGTAAAAATAGCATTTTTCAGGATGGTTGACGATTGTAAAAACCGCGCCAACAATTGCGCCAATGTAAATCGCCAAAAATCCGTGCAACCGCCTACCAAAGTAGCACCGATCTTTGACCTATTATTGTTTTATGTCGCTGTAACTTGCAAAAGTCTACTGTGTTATGTGGCCTATAAGCATAGAAAGGTTGGTCTTCCAGCTCCATTTTAATAGAGAACTATTTAATATAAGAAATATAGAGCATTTATTGTATTTTGGTTTAATATAAGGACGGTCATATATTAGTTTTAGGTCTCAATTAAGGCTACATGCACAACATTCTTTCAGAGGCTCATAGAAAACACTTTTCTAGTTTTATATAATAATAAAAAAAAAAAAAAAAAAAAAAAAAAAAAAAAAAAAAAAATATTCGAGAAACTACAGAACAATTGTGGAGTCTTCTTAAACATCCAGGCTTTAGGTCCGGGTCTTTTGGGCTTAGGCGATAATCAGGCTTCCAACAAAGTAAAAACTATTAACATAGTAACTAAAAGTATCTCATTTTAATTCGTATATTCAATTAATTGGAAATTTAATTTCATCTTTTCAGTTTCCAGTGAAAAAGATAGAAAAAATAAAACAAATTACTTACCACACATGTTCTGATTGAAATCTGGTTCATTTTTACGCTCATCCGAACTTAGAACTGACCGGATTGTAGGCGTAGTTATGTGTCCACTTGCTAAAAAGAAACAAAAAATGTACATATTTAGCATGTTGAGTTCTAAACATATTAGAGTTATGTTACATAAACTATTATTCTAAACATATTAGAGTTCAGTTACGTTTAAAAGTAAGTAAAAGTTTACAATTGGGCGCCCCTTGTCTTTCTGGCGCCAAGAAGGTACAGTTTCAAAATGACCGCTACACAAAAACCAAAGAAAAGAAGTCAAAGAATTGCACAAACTCGGTGTCCACGTACACATCGATCTATTTTCACTTAAAAAAATCAGAGAGTTGCACAAACTCGGCATTGTGCAATGCTTTGACTTTGTCCATGACACTTCGATCTATTTTCACTTAAAAAAAATCAGGAATCTAAAAACAAGTTGAAAACTATCACGGTAACCAGAAATGGGGTTTCATCAGAAAAAATTGAACAAAATTTGTCGCCAATAGAAGGGGCACCCAATTCTACACTAGAGCCCTTTAGAGGTTAGAGTTATGTATATAGACGGAAAAGAAGATTTAAATGATTATATTTCATACACTGAAACTCCTTTTATTTCAGTGCATTCTCAATGTTCTGAACTGAAGAATTATGTTTAAATTTCCAAACAGAATATAGATAAGACAAACTACGTTCTAACTTTGTTAAAAGAACTAAAATAGCGTTCCGATATTGTCTTTTTATAAACTTGTATTCGAGGGTTAAATTATGTTAAAATTAAAGAAGGAGTAATTAATATAAGAAATTAAATTAATCGAGTCACTAGAAAGTCAAGTTATTTTCCATAATTCTTATTTTACTAATGAATTGTCAAGTTTTTTAAATCACTGTCGATTAAATATCGTTTGCTTTATTCCTAAATTCTCTCTGCATGTCTTATTAAATTTCTTTTACTAAATATCTCATTGACATATTTTTAAACTCAACGAATGAAGCAGGCAAAATTGAACAAGACACAAAAACACAACGCTAACATTTAGTAATATTTTTAAGCCTTTTAATGTTATATAATGTTCCTCAATAATTTGTTTATGTTAAGATGTAGAGGAACTTAGTGAATTAAGTAGCGACTTACAGCTGATTTCGAATATTTATAACAGAGTCTGCAAAAGGGTTGTTAAAATACCCTTTTATTCACCCAAAGAAATAATAACAGATGGCCCCTCTCTCGGACTTACAGGAAAGTCTCCATTCGGGCTTTTAAATCAGGATAAGAAAATAAGAAACTAATCTGATACTAAAGTAAACAGACTTAGCCGAAGCTAGACACAAATACCTAACGTAGTTGGCCCTTAATTTAAGCTAACCGGCAATTATCAAGAGGCACGTACAATACGGCCTAGTGCAGTAGATTTAAGAACGAAGAAGCCAAACGGCAAACACGCGCCACTAAGGACTCCTAAGTTCTCTCTTTACTTTCCTTAAATAAGTTGAATAAGTTGAAGTAAGTTGAACCTTCCTTAAATACTCCTTCTAACTCAGTTCCATAAAACGATATACTAAAAACTCATTCTGGTAGGGAATAGTAGATGGGAAACAAGAATAGACAGTAAAGCATGTTTAAATTAAAAATAACTGTTAGAAACTTAAAGTATTCTCTACAAATAATTTTATGAAGTATCCTTCTAATAAGCTAGTAACCGTAGTTTGAAATAAACAACTGAATACAGTCAAAAGTTTTTAATACGGACGTCCATAATCCGGAATGATCTAGAATCCGGACCTCAAAGCCACAAACTTTCTGCGCATGCGTAAACGCATACGCATGCGCATAGTACGTTTACGCATGCGCGTTTAATGTATAATGGACGGTATAAGCTAAGCTAAAATTATCTAATTATCTATTTCAGTTAATGTTGCAGATTGCGTTGTTCCTTAATCTTCTGATTGGATCAGGCTTATTATTTTTTGCAGACTGTTAGAGCAATTGTAAGCTTGAACTTTCGATTATGTCAAAAAGAATTTCCGATTCTGGAGCTGCCAGAGGATCTACAAAGCGAAGGCATGTTTCGATGTCCATCAAACAAAAAGTGGAATTGCTGCAAAAAATGGATAAAGGCATATCCTTTGTTTCTCTAACCATTCCGAAATCTGTTTATTAATTTCACGCTGCTCTGCGAGGGGAGGGGAACGTCGCGGCGCGCAATTAATTGGAAGTTATTCTGTCAGCACTATTCGCATCTTCCAGGGCAGATTTTTTTAAATTTTAATTCGGCTTATAATTCCTTACTAATGTGTAGTATTTCATCTCGATGTACTCCGTCTTGGATATGATTTAAACCAAATTCCTCGTCATTACAAATATCATGAATACACATCAAATAGTTTTCTGGTTGCGATTTTCTAATTTCGACTATGCGTAATGTATGCTTTACGCATGCGCGCGTTGAAAGAAATGTTTAATAAAGTAAACAAATAAATATTAAGTTTTTTTTTAAATGTTGATACTCTTTAGATCATAATTGCTCTTTATTTCACAAATTACGGTTTCATATTTTTAATTTTATAATTTCTGCATGCCATCTTACCAGATTTAAATTGATGATCTATAATTCGGAAAAACCGATAATCCGGAATCGCCGAAGTCCCAACGAGTCCGGATTAAAGACTTATTAATTTGATGGATTACAAAACACAGGGATATAACAGTTATAGCATTAGCGGAATTTGTTTAGGGACAGTGAGGTTTACTTATCTATTACTTTGAAATCCGAATACCATCTAGAAAATATAATATATTTTAGTTTAGAAGAAATTTAGAAAATACTAAAATTTTCATGTAGCAGTAAAAGCTATGAGATATTACCTGTTCTCAGTAAGATTCTAAAATGTCACACTATTTTTAATCAAGATGCCAAAATTACAGTCTAAAAAATACTAATCTAAAATCTAAAAAATACAATCTAAAAAAGACATTGTTTTCCATTGTTCCATTGCTGTATACCTCTTTTTACGAAAGATAACTTTAGACATTTCGTTTTTACGAAGCATTGATACTTGTTTTCATATTTGGTTTTTTATTGTACTTGATTTTTCCCACATTTCAACATTGAGACTTATTTTAGATATCTGAAAGAAACAGGAAAAGATTTTTTTTGCTTTTACCGAGACACGAAACTATTTAAAACCCATAGGATGTTCGAATAGGTGACTGTTGCAAGAATTGGGATAATTTATTTATTTTAAAAGCAATTACTACCAACTTTTTACAGCTGACTACATAATATAGCTGCTTTCTGTAATAGTCATCAGAAAGGTTGTGTTGCCACAAATATTTTTATAATTTAATCCGCTTTGTGACAACATTTTTCATCATGTTTCCAACTTGCGCGCACAGTTTAAAACATTCTGTTTCATAATTTAATTCCATATTTAATATATAGCTTTATAACATTTGGAAACTACTGTGGACCTAAAATTCTAAAAATTTTATGTTAAATTTTTATTTATTTGAGTTGAGTTATAAAATGTATTTTATTAACAAAATTTGTAATGTTTTCGTCCATAAAATTTTTCAATGTTAAAATATTCATCAGACTGTTGGTTCAGTTAAAAAATAATGCCCATATGAAGAATTCCATCCAATTTCAAGTATGTACCATTAGTCATTTTTAAAATACTATGCGCGCAAGGTGGAAGCATGGCGAAATATTTTGTCACAAAGAGGATTAAATTACGAAAATATTTGTGGCAACACAAGCTTTCTGGCTACTAGTTTCCAAAGCAGCTATATTATGTAGTCAGCTGTAAAAGGTTGGAAGTAATTGCTTTTAAAATAAATAAAATATCCTAATTCTTGCAACAGTCACATATTCGAAGATCATGAGGGGTTTAAGGTGTATGAGTCCCCTTAACCGACTTTAAAAAGGCTTTACGTCAGTTAAGAGTACACAAGTTCGAAATAATTTTGATGGACGTAATGATAAGTATGATGAATGTATGACAAAACAGAAAAGAGTAATGTATGTATTAATTTAGTGCTTCGAGGTTGTAGCATCAGTAGCAGGTGGCACAAATAAAATTTCGAGACAGAAGACAGATATAACACATTGCCTATTTTCGGAAGAGGAAATACAGAAAACATTTTCTTATATAAAATAAATGCAATTCATTCACCACTTTATGTCACTTTGATGTATAAAAGGCTCTTCAGAAATGATTTATTATCATAAAGCTGAAAAAATCCACAGTTTGATTTGGAATGCCGGTAAAACCTCTTTTCCTGCTGAATGCAAGTTGTTGTAAAGAAGCTTACGATCATGGACCTTATAAGACAGTTCTCCGCAACCTTTTCTCACCTGCGACGCACAAAAAATCTTTCTGGAATTTCGTGGCGCACCAAAGCTAATGTATTATGTATTGATTTATACACAAAATTACAATAAATTTTTGTTTTAATTTAAAAATATACAATTATAAAACCATAACATATTATTTATATGCAATCATAATAATTATCAATGTGATACCTGCGCTTGCTTCAATGAACACAAAAGTTTTTATATTCGGCTCAATATCTGAGAACGCAACACGAAGTTCTTAGTCCAGATCTTTTAAGCATGACCGCGTATCATTTTTAATTAAAAATAGAGTTGAAAAACTTGCTCACATAAATATGTCGTAGAAAATGGAAGTAAGGTTAGAATTGCTTTTTTCGGAAATATGAGGATATTCTTTTTTAACGTAAATCCAGAAAACATCTAATGGAACTTCGGAGAAGTATAATTTTAAAGTCGTGTCACTTTTCAAATCTGTAAATTCCTCTCAAATTTTTAGAAGCAGCGCTTCCGTAGAATTTATTACATTGTTTGCAAAAGGATTTCGAATCCAATCGTACTGTTCCGTATTAATGGAATAAAAAAAATTGTCATTGTGTATTAAATACATGATAAAAAATTGCAAAATGTCAAATACATGTATTTGATTGCGGCACACCTATATCCTACTCATGGTTCACCAGTGAGCCGCGGCACACCGGTTGCAGAGCACTGTTATAAGAGATAGACTAACCC